GTAAAGACTGCCGCTAGAGAGTCTTTTCAAAATGTTAACACTAGCATTTAATTTTATTGACTAATATTGAGTGAATTGGTTTGAAACTAATCAAATTAACTCTCAAATCAATAAAATTTATTGCAATGAGATGAAATTAGGATAAAATCTAATTATTCCATACAATTTATCATATATATATTCCTTTTGTCCAAAAAAGAATATCACACTTCACTATTTAAAAATTACGGAAATTTTATTTGTTTGTACGTTATCATTTATATATATAATTTATCTTTAATTTCTACATATAATAAATTTAAGGCATAAAAATTTGTACTTTTTTTAAGTAGATAATCCATTTTATGAGGGAAGGAGCAAATAATGTAACTAGTTCAAATGGTAAAATAAAAGTAAAAATTTAAAAATATAATATGCTTATTGAAAGGTAAACATAGTTCTGAATTTATCGATTTTAGTTCTAATCGAGTTCAGATATTATCGGTTTCAGATCTAATCGGTTTTGGATTTTATCGGTTTCGGGTATTATCAGGTCCGGATCTAATCGGTTTCGGGTTTAATCGATTCGGATATTATCGGTTTCGGATCTAATCGGTTTCGGATTTAAATCGGATATGAATTATTTAGTTCGGTTTCGGTTCGGTTCGGATCATTTCGGGTTTTCGGTTATAGATCGGATCTTCATTTTTCGGATCATTCCGGTTTCGGTTTCAGATATTTCGGTTCGGGTAATCGGTTCCGATTCTGTTTTGCCAGGTCTATGGAGTACTTTGTATGATATTATTTATTTTTAAAGTTCTTTCATTAATATTGTTGAAATTATACTTATTACTACTATTACCATTATTTTTTAGAGTTATTAGTAGTTTGATATTGTATGAATTGAAAAAATATCTATTTTAAAAAATTAAACTTGTCATCTTTTATTTTTTATGTGTATGATCTTTTGAAATTCGAAATCAATACTTCTATCTAACAAAGTTGTGCTTTTGTACACAAAATTATGCTTTTATTTTAATATTCTTTTAGTGATGCATGTTCATTTTTTTGGCACGGTTTGAAAATGGTTATGGTATTGTACCGTTCTGTTTCAAAACGGAATGGTACCGAATGGTTTTAGGTTTCATACCGTACCGGTACCAAACCGTTTAAATAAGAGCGGTCCGTGATAGGTTCTGCTGATATCAGGGACCGTCACACACTGCACCCACCCCTATATCTCATTCAATCACTTCACGGGAGACATACCAAGCTCATTTGCAGCACTAAAGAGCCTACAAAACTTTTATGGCTTCCACAACACTTTCTCTGAATTCACATTTTGCATCTATCCTCATTGTTTTCATTTTCCAGAAACATTAAGGCGAATAATTTAAGCAGGGAACTTTCGGAGAGTTTTTGACACATAACAAACCTCTGGTAAACCTTCTCTTTTTCTTAACATTGCTGTGGAGTCCTTAACCATTTATAAGATTTTTAAAATGATAATCTGCAACCAGGACTTGGGGCAATCATTTTCACTCTACGGAAAACAATCTGTAAGCAGATGCACAGGCTGGGCTGTTTATTCTACTTTTTTACTCGTGATAAAAATGTAAAATTACTTACGAAATATTGTCCTTCTCACATAAATCTGAGCCACAACATGTTATCCGTAGCATTAGGATACTTCTTTGGAGGCCTGGAAAATATGCAGCAAATGTATGGGATCTTATCATTTTTTGTTATGGAGTATTTGTTTTTTGAAAGCGAAACACTTGTGTTATGATTTAGAAGTACAAATCAGAGTTCTGAAGCTGAACTAAATGTGGCATTCCGGGGATATCTCATTATGGGTGGGCAAAAAAACCGAACCAGCATGATATCATACCGGACCATAATGGTACCAAATCGTTTATAGTGTTTTTAAATGGGATTGATTTTTTCATCACGAATCGAAACCGAATCAATATCAAACGTGATGGGGCAGTGATACAAATATTTAAAACTAATTATCACAGACCGAACCGTTCAAAGTTATATAAAGTGTATCTCAAATAATTATTTGTCTACTTTATCTTACCGTATGTAGAGTACTTTGTATGATATTATTTATTTTTAAAATTCTTTCATTAATATTGTTGAAATTATATTCATTAATATTGTTCAAAACGGAATGGTACTGAATGATTTAGGTTTCATACCGTACCTGTACCGAACCGTTTAAATAAGAGCGGTCTGTGATAGGTTCCGCTGATATCACGGACCGTCGCGGACTGCACCCACCCCTATATCTCATTCAATCACTTCACGGGTGACATACCAAGCTCATTTGCAGCACTAAAGAGCCTACAAAGCATTTATGGCTTCCACAACACTTTCTCAGAATTCACATTTTGCTTCTATCCTCACTGTTTTCATTTTCTAGAAAAATGAAGGCGAATAATTTAAGCGGTGAACTTTCGGAGAGTTTTTGACACATAACAAACCTCGGGTAAATCTTCTCTTTTTCTTAACATTGCTGTGGTGTCCTTAACCATCTACAAGATTTTTAAAATGACAATCTGCAATCAGGACTTGGGGAAATCATTTTCACTCTAGGGAAAACAATCTGTAAGCAGATGCACGGACTGGGCTGTATATTCTACTTTGTTACTCGTGATAAAAATGTAAAATTACTTACGAAATATTGTCTTTCTCACATAAATCTTAGCCACAACATGTTATCCGTAGCATTAGGAGACTTCTTTGGTGGCCTGGAGAATATGCACCAAATGTATGGGATCTTATCATTTTTTGTTATGGAGTATTTGTTTTTTTGAAAGTGAAACACTTGTGTTATGATTTAGAAGTACAAATCAGAGTTCTGAAGCTGGACTAAATGTGGCATTCCGGGGATATCTCATTAGAGTGGGCAAAAAAACCGAACCAGCATGGTACCATACCGGACCGTAACGTTACCGAATCGTTTATAGTGTTTTTAAATGGGATTGATTTTTTCATCACGAATCGAAACCGAATCAATATCAAACGTGATGGGACCGTGATACAAATATTTAAAACCGATTATCACGGACCGAACCGTTCAAAGTTATATAAGGAGTATCTCAAATAGTTATTTGTCTACTTTATCTTACAGTATATGGAGTACTTTGTATGATATTATTTATTTTTAAAATTCTTTCATTAATATTGTTGAAATTATATTTATTACTACTATTAGCATTATTTTTTAAAGTTATTAGTAGTTCGATATTGTATGAATCGAAAAAAATCTATTTTAAAAAATTAAACTCGTTATCTTTTATTTTTTATGTTTATGATCCTTTTGAAATTCGAAATCAATACTTCTATTTAACAAAGTTGTGCTTTTGTATACAAAATTATGCTTTTATTTAAATATTTTTTTAGTGATGCATGTTCATTTTTTTGGCACGGTTTGAACATGGTTATGGTATTGTACCGTTCTATTTCAAAACGGAATGGTACCGAATGGTTTAGGTTTCATACCATACCGGTACCGAACATTTAAATAAAAGCGGTCCGTGATAGGTTCCGCTGATCACGGACCGTCACGGACTGCACCCACCCCTGTAACTCATTCAATCACTTCACGGGTGACATACCAAGCTCATTTGCAGCACTAAAGAGCCTACAATGCTTTTATGGCTTCCACAACATTTTCTCTGAATTCACATTTTGCATCTATCTTCACTGTTTTCATTTTCCAGAAAAATTAAGGTGAATAATTTAAGCGGAGAACTTTTGGAGAGTTTTTGACACATAACAAACCTCAGGTAAATCTTCTCTTTTTCTTAACATTGCTGTGGTGTCCTTAACCATCTACAAGATTTTTAAAATGACAATCTGCAATCACGACTTGGGGCAATCATTTTTACTCTACAGAAAACAATCTGTAAGCAGATGCACGGGCTGGGCTGTTTATTCTACTTTGTTACTCGTGATAAAAATGTAAAATTACTTACGAAATATTGTCCTTCTCACATAAATCTGAGCCACAACATGTTATCCGTATCATTAGGAGACTTCTTTGGCGGCTTGGAGAATATGCAGCAGATGTATGGATCTTATCATTTTTTGTTATGGAGTATTTGTTTTTTTGAATGCGAAACACTTGTGTTATGATTTAGAAGTACAAATCAAAGTTCTGAAGCTGGACAAAATGTGGCATTCTAGGGATATCTCATTAAGTCATTAGGGGTGGGCAAAAAAACCGAACCAGCATGGTACGACCGTAATGGTACCGAATCGTTTATAGTGTTTTTAAATGGGATTGATTTTTTCATCACGAATTGAAACCGAATCAATATCAAACGGGATGGGACCGTGATACAAATATTTAAAACCGATTATCACGGACCGAACTGTTCAAAGCTATATAAGGAGTATCTCAAATAATTATTTGTCTACGTTATCTTACCGTATATAGAGTACTTTGTATGATATTATTTATTTTTAAAATTCTTTCATTAATATTGTTGAAATTATATTTATTAATATTATTCTAAACGGAATGGTTTTAGGTTTCATACCGTACCTGTACCGAACCGTTTATATAAGAGCGGTCCGTGATAGGTTCTGCTGATATCACGGACCGTCACGGACTGCACCCACCCCTATATCTCATTCAATCACTTCACGGGTGACATACCAAGCTCTTTGCAGCACTAAAAAGCCTACAAAGCTTTTATGGCTTCCACAAAAAAATTTCTCTGAATTCACATTTTGCATTTATCCTCACTGTTTTCATTTTCCAGAAACATTAAGGCAAATAGTTTAAGCGCGGAACTTTCGGAGAGTTTTTGACACATAACAAACCTCAGGTAAATGTTCTCTTTTTCTTAACAATGTTCTGGTGTCCTTAACCATCTACAAGATTTTTAAAATGACAATCTGCAATCAGGACTTGGGGCAATCATTTTCACTCTAGGGAAAACAATCTGTAAGCAGATGCACGGGCTGGGCTGTTTTATGTACTTTGTTACTCGTGATAAAAATGTAAAATCACTTACGATATATTGTCCTTCTCACATAAATCTGAGCCACAACATGTTATCCGGAGCATTAGGAGACTTCTTTGGCAGCTTGAAGAATATGCATCACATGTATGGGATCTTATCATTTTTTGTTATGGAGTATTTGTTTTTTTGAAAGCCAAACACTTGTGTTATGATTTAGAAGTACAAATCAGAGTTTTGAAGCTGGACAAAATGCCGCCCGTAAAGTTATTGGCTGATAAATCCCTGTGAAATCACAATTAATCCAGATTTAGGACATTAATAGGTTTGAATTATCAAATGATCACAACTTAAGTGTTTGGCATTGAATAAAAAACTAAATACTCCGACAATAAAAGCTGATAAAATTTCATACATCATCTTCAGATTTTTCAATCCACCAAAGAAGTCTCCTAAAGGCCCAAAAAACATGTTGTGACTCAGATTCCTACGAGCAGAATAATAATTGAAAAAACGTTGTAATCACAAGTTACAAAGTTGAACAAACCGCCAGTGTATCTGCTTAAAGCTGTGTGAGATGGTTCATATTAGTCGAAGAATATGGAAACGGAATGTTATTCCTGAACTTGTTGCATGCTAAATTCCTGCATTAATTCAAAAATAAGGTAAACCAGACTCATATTTCCCGGAAAAACTCAAGAGAGAAAGAGGGTTCAAGACTTCAGTGAATCAAAATCACAAAATGAACCGACAAGAACATTAACTTACAAGTGTTTCAGATTACGCGGCAAGTCAAATGGGATTTCACCGTGAACCTTATTGTAGCTAAGGTCCCTAAATATACAAACATTTTCAAGGTTAAAAAACATGAGGCCTCTAATTTCAAGTGTGGAAAACTGGATATGCCTATCAACTTACAGAAATTCCAAATTTCGCAGATTCGAAAGCTGGGGCCTTAAGGTTCTGGTCAGGTTTAAACGTTTCAGTTTTCTGTCGTTTTTTTTCGGGAGAGAAAAAATATGAGGCCAAAAACCGAATCAACTAAAATGGACGAGGATGAATTGTAGTGCAAAGACGCATACATTTCAATCACCGAAGACCCGGAGCATCTTACTCCAGACCATGATTCCCCTCCAGTTCTTCAGTTGTGATGGGCTGTTGAAGGCTCTGTACATCTCTCTCAGAGTTTGTGCTGCCACACATGAATAAAGGAAGATAAAGTTTTATAATTTATCCTCAGTTCAATTACTCTATAACCATTTCACAGAAATCTGGAATCTCCGAATGAATCACAAAAATAGAAATCAAACAAGAGGTGCATCATACCTTCAAGTTCATTAGTGTGTGCCTGAGCCTGAAGAGACAGAATGGACATGAAGATACACGCACTGATGCAGAGCCATTTTAACTGTGTAGCCATTGTGACTAATAATCAGAAGCGTACAAATTCACCTGAAAAAAGATGGGGAAAAATCCACTGAGATTTACTCTTCCATCAAACTCCCAAGCTAGTAATGGTAGCCGGTGATTTTAGTGTCACCGCCGGGTATTTAAGGGTAAAAATTTACTAATGGTAATTTCACTTAGGTAGTTAGGTACAATGAAAAAATTACCGAGGAGTGAAAGAGAGAAGAAGAGCAAGGGATTGTGTGGTGGAAGCAGCCTACTCGGTCCAAAAGGTGGAATCCCCCACCCCCTTGCCCCCCACCCCCTTGCCCGACAGGAATGGTGGAGGAAGTAAATCATGGTGACTCAGTCGGCCAAGGACGCTAGACCCGTGCCCACCGCGCACAAGGAGCCTCCTCGCCCTTTATGGGATTTTTGGATAGCTCCCACACTGCCGCTTGCGGGACTCGATCCCTGGTCATCGGTCCAAGATTTCACGCTCTTGACCAACTGAGCTGCCCATGCGGGCAAGAAGCAGCCTTCTCTACTTATCCGAAAGGGAAGGGGGGATCCTCTACCCAAAAATGCATGTCCTGACTGCCCATCCCACACCCAACTCAAGACCATTTGCAATGGCGGATCCAGGATGTTAGATAGTAGGAGCCACTTTTCGGGTGTTCGGGAGGCAACGTCCTCAAAACTTTTTTTATATATGCAATGTGAAACTTTAGAAAATAATGAACTTACCCTCAAACAGTTATTCAAATAGTAAAAAAAATAAAAAAACAATTTTTTATTTAATGCCAATATTATAAATTAGTTTAATTATTACTCTGTATATTTTTAGTGTACTACTTTAGATTTTATCTTTGGACTTTTAAATATTTCACTTTAAAATTATATTCTTTTAATATTTAAATATTCAACTTCTCTCATTGTTCTCTTACTTAACACTATTACTTGAGGTCTCTAATGCTTTCAATTGGGATCTCTAATATCTTTAGTTGGGGTCATAAATTACATGACTCTAAGAAACATTAAAAAAAATAAGCATCACAATACATATAATTAAAAAAAACTTAAAAATAGTAGGGGGTCATTGCCCCCAACTACTATAATATGGATCCGCCCCTGAGTCCATTTTCCATTTTACTCTATCTTTATTCTTTTTCTTTTTCGATTATCACTACAATCATGCTAGGAGTACCAAAAAATATACCTCAAGAAATACACCGACATTTTAACGATTTACACTGGCACAAAATATTCGTTCAATTAAAAAAATTTGCACTGACATTTTTTGTCAATGTAAATCATCACGTTAGCATCACACTAGCTAATAGTTTAATCCTTATCACTATATGATCAAAAAAATGTTTGGATACGTCACGTTCTCTATAAATCTGTATTATATTTTTTTTGGGTGTGAATAAAAAAATTAAAAAGTGCATAAAAATGTGTGGTGAAGCAGATCTAGAATTACAAATGACCGGGGCATTAGTGAGGCGGGGGTTCGAGGGCAGTGTCCCGATTTTTTCTTTTTAAGTCACTTTTAAATAAAAAGTGAAAAAAAGAATAAAATTATATCAAATAAATTTAAAATAAGTAACACGATATTTCAAAAGTAGAAAAATATAATACTAAAATAGATTACGTGGTGCGGAGTTTTTAAATAAACTTACTTCTTTGGATAAATTTCTTATTTGATCGGGGTAGAAAAATATTTTTACTGAGAGAACAATTTTATCTACGCACGAATTTTTTACCAGAATTTTTTAAATTTTTACACATTATATTTTTAAAAAATTGACTGAGGCGGATGCTCCCGGTCAGAACAAGGTGAAAACGCCTTTGTGGTGTGGTGAGGAGATGATTGGTGTAGAAGCAATTATACAACTTAGTGTAACCCTAGCATTAAATGTACCTTACTTTGGTGTGCATCATCTGCACACTAAGTGTGTTACAGACACACAGTGATACAACAATTGTTGTTTGTGTGTCTCTAACACACTTGGCGTGCTACCCAAGTAGCATACACCAAAACTTTTTCCTATTTAAAATGACACGGAACTAGAATCTTAAGTGCATAACAAGGAGTGAGAAAGGAGTATAATAAACTTTATTTGGTACAACTGGAGTATAATACGGAGTATTTGATTTTGAATCTATACATCCATTTCATTTGCTGTTATTTGATTAATAATGTATTGCCTACTTGGGCGCGCATTTGGCTCGGTAACTAAAACAGTAATTTTCCGAAGATAGAGTAATTTGGTAGATATTGATTAGCCCAATTAATTGTAACATATTATCATGAATGTAGTTGCTTTATGAATACCCCCAACATGTATTTTAGCCTAAAACTGGTGGATAAGAAAGATAATGTTGAATATATTTGTTGTTTTTTTTTCCTAGCTAAACAAGCCATTTATGATAGTGAACTTGTTAACATGACTCTTGTAATTTGCACTGGGATCCATAAAAGCTATGGCACTGAGTTATAGTCTATGTTTATAACTGCACACCTCTTTTTCAAATTACAGTGCAACAGGTGAATTCAAGGTACTTTGAGTACATCACAGACCCAAATCTTTGCAATGGACGAGAGAACACTCGACAAGAGATTTCACCAGGTGCCATCGAACACCACAAGCGCGTAGAGAACTTCTTATGCAAGATAAACGTCATTTTCAACGTTATTTCCCAAACGGAGGGAGTACAAGAAAACATGGGGATTTATGGCGGAAATCACTTAGAGATCGAATTTACATCTGGGGGCTCTCAATGTAGGACATTGGATATATGGCTCTCATCCACTGGACTTATTAGCCAGTGAGTATTATAGAGAATATGGACAAATAATGAACCCAAGCATTTTATAGCAATACAAGACACTAGTGAGCCAATGAAAGAGTGCAATAATGTCTTCCACAAAGGGGTTGTTCAGATATCTCCAACATATCGCATAAGTGCTTTTGTTCACAGAACATACCATAAGAGCACTAGTCCTAAAACACATCAGATGAATAAATTCGAACCATACTCAAGACACATAGTAACAAATCCACTACGGGTGTTAATCTAAAGCGTCGACAAGTGCAACCCTTTTACGACAAAGCTTAAAGTTAAAAGACCAACGCACCTTGCCCTTTTTGCCACTAACTTCTCGCATGAAACAAGCAGGACTTCCCTTGTCTTCATCTTCATCTTGAGCAGCAGCAGCTTGAAGACAGGATGTTGAAATGATTTGCTTGATTGAGATCAAGCTCTCCGCATAGCCACCTGGGTTTGAAAGATCCCCCAATCGCCTGGTTCGAGCGACTTCCCCGGTGACCCAGTTGAAAACGGCCAGTTCCTCTTCAATGCAGTGGTGGCCTATGTAAATGAAGAGCTCATTGTCATTCAGCCATAGATTCGACGGCCAAACTACCAAATCATCAGGAAACTCGAAAGAAAATTCTTTGTTCCACACTAGCTGCTGATCATCATCTTTGCTTAGCAGCCACACATCAGCACAATTCAATTCCTCTTTCTTTGTGGGATCAAAACGAGGGCGAGATGAACAACAAATGTTGGCCTGACATCCACTAGAGGTCACGATATTATGTAGACGCCATTTCCCGGGATTTAAACAATTTGGCATGTTCACATCCTGAAACACCTCGTCTGCCATGTCAAATGCCAATATTGCCAGCTTTGAGTCTGTTGAATCAAGAGAGCCGAACCAGTTCAAAATGCTCCCATTGGCATTCAAGACAGGTTCACAGAGGAAGCGATGGAACTTATTCATGGCGCCTCTGGTTGGGAGACTATGCCAGCGGCCATCTCGAACAGAGAACACGTCCACCTCCCAGTACTTAGATCTAGCAAAATTTGATGGTGGCCAGAATAAGACCACTTTGTAATCGTTTTTCTTTGGATCAAATCCGAGTGCAGGTGTGGGAAGGGTGCTCATATTGAGAATGTGGTGTGGAGGAAGCGGCAACGGCACAACCTCACCAATAGCCGGATTACATATCATCACCTTGGACCCAAACGAACGCCCAAAAGTCACATACACGCACATCAAACCATGATGGAAATTGGACACAGCCACGTCCACTTCGGGTCCAAACTCAATCTTCTTTGCGAGACGTAATTTCCTCTTTTCCGTGAACGAGTACAAGCAGACCTTCGACGCTTCATCTGGGACAGTAGACCTGCACTTTCTCCCATGCATGCCATAGTCCACAAGATGATCAACATGGTCAATCAGAGTGGACGGCGACGGCCTGGCTTTCGTGAGACAATGTCTCCTCGCGAAATTAGGATCATTTCTGATGAGTTCAAGCAAGTACTTGCACACTGCAGTGAAACGGATTAAAGATTTCACCGGAAGCCGGAGCAGGATCTCAGTTAAGACCTCTGTTGGAATATCACAGTAGAATGTATTGCCACCGGTCTCAACTCTCTCCCCCATTCTGCTCCCTGTTTGTAAATGCAACATGTAGAAATATAATTAGAACTGAACTTTATAAATACATTGATCACAAACGCCTTATTTATACAAAAATAACTCTAACCTAATCACAAGCCCACTAACAGGCCCAATAATATCAAAACCTAATTACATCCGCTAACACTCCCCCTCAAGTTGAGCATTATGTTAACGAATGCACAACTTGGACAATTAAAAAAAACTAGGACTAAAAAAAAAACTTGATAAACAACATGAACTTGATCTGCTGTGACAACGACGAACGAAGATGACTGGCCCGGCACGAACAATAAATTTTGATGACGAATGACTCCCACGCGGTGACACGGGGACGACTAACAAGCATCCCAAACTTGGAAGCCGTGTTGCCGGACTGAGGCACGACTATGCGACCAACCTCACAAACTGATATGTCGAACTGAGGCGCGACTATGCGACCAACCTCACAAACAAACATGCCGAACATACAACGGGTTGCACATGAACATACCAAATAGCAACCAAAAACAATGTCGCCAAAACGTCATCAAATTTCGATGAACAGTAGAGTGAACATAAAAACCTTCTTCCTCAAAGCACAAACAAATCAAACCAATACCAATACCAATCTAAAATTGCCAAACACCAATAATTGAAGTTGCTGCTAAATCCACCAAAATCAGCGAACAGAACCGAAACATCACTGATAGCCAAACACTCGCCAATTGATTATAAATGACTCACTGCTGCAAAATTAATGAAACCAGATTTTTTTTTTCCCTTTTAAAACAAAGGAAAGACCACTACATGCTAGTATACCACTATCCTTTGATGACACCTTCGTGGCAAAAAAAAAAATTGGTATACTAGGCACCATACGGATAATTAATTAGCCAAGAAGAGACTAATTTGAATTTGATAAAGGTTGAAAATTTCTGAATACGACACCAAACAGAATGAGTAGTTTGATGGCAGCTATAAAAAGAACAATCTGATTCCAGATCCGCCACGCTAGTTAAATGAAACTTTGAGGCGGCCGAATGAATGAAGCAATTCCCGAGACTTTAACAGAGGCGATTGGCAACAAACGACTAATTGACAAATCTAATTGTCAGCAAGGTGCAGCACCGCAAGATCTTGGACGGCAAAAAAAAAGGACGAGAAAACAAGGTGAAGGGAAAAGATGGTGACGCCGCCGTCGCCGGACAAACCATCGGCGACGGCAACACCGGAAGCAACAAATTAGAACAAACTAGGGTTTAGGTTCCCAGGTTGGCTCTGAACTTTATAAATACATTGATCACAAACGCCTTATTTATACAAAAATAACTCTAACCTAATCACAAGCCCACTAACAGGCCCAATAATATCAAAACCTAATTACATCCGCTAACACAACATGTCGAAATGAAAGATCCAGAAAACACAGTGGCATTGAAAAACTGAGGTAGAGATGTCAAAAGGCAATCATCGTTTGAAAGTAAACTAATAATGAAGTTAACGAGATCATCCTCAAATAATAAATGAACAAATCTTAGATCTGGATGATACGAAATCGAGCAATTTAATGAAAAGATTTCAAATAAATACAGATCAAGTGATGTGCGAAATCTGAAACCGAATGAAACTGAAATTTGCATCCAATCAATCGCGAGCGAATAACCTGGATGAATAGATACGGATTGTTGAGGAGGATTGGCCGGGTTTCCGCGTTTATGAATTTAGACTGCTCTTTGGTTCTTTCACTTCTTTCTACTCCAGAGTCCAGACAAAGTCATACGAATGCACGCGGTCTGAAAAAAATTTACCCTAGTTCACTAAGGAAGTCATCATGCCCGTCCATTTTTTTAGAAGGTATCGTGTAAATATCTCAAACGAATATTTGATTTATAAACAAACTTTAAAAAATGTTTATTAGTAATAAATCAATAAGTTCTAGCAAGTAAAAACACTCCCTATGACACTCAAGTTTTCTATAATTTCATTATTACACCTTTAGGTTTTTTTATTACTTATAACTTGTAAGTGTAGTATGTATAGAACCAACCACAAAATTTATTGAAAAAATTTAGAATACCGAAACGAAAAAATACGACAAATACCAAATCGAACGGTATGTTATTTGGGAATGATGCGAAGCAGCCGAAATTCCTGAACCGAATATATACACGAATATGCTATAAAGATAATAGTCAATCATATTTCTTTATTAAATACTAGTAACAAATTTAATTTGAAAATTTGGTTCAAATTTTATTATGTGTAAATTATAACTTTTATTTGAGTTTCAAATTGTTGTAAATAAATATGGAGTATAAAAATATTAACAAGCATTTGAAACAGTATTTTGTTATTATTCGTTTTTTTAGTTTATGAAATATAAATAAAATTTCATAATCGTTTCTTACATTAAATTATGTATTTTTTTTTAGTTTTTTTTACATTTCCTTATATAAATGAACTTTTAATTTTTTTCCAAAAACAAATGGTCTTGTTACATTTTAAAGAATAAACAAAGTACGTATGTGTTTATCTCGATTTGTACCGAAATCAATAATGAACTCTCTCAAATAATACCAAACTTCGGTGCGATCGAGCTAAATACCGTACTATATCATACAATGCTCAGTTGCTCACCCCGAGTAGTATCTATTCAATCTTATAATTAATCTTAGCCTCTTTAAGTAAAAGAATGTGGTTCCAACACTAGATGTGAAGAAACTTATAATGACTTCTTTGTCACCATACTAACATGACTTACTGTTCATCACCCCATAATAATGATAAAATTAGCTGAAATCAAACCAGGTGAGGGGATTTATATATATGGAGGGATAAAGCTACTTGTACCCCATATTTTGTACCCTGCAAGTTTGCACCAACACTTTGTGTTGGTGTAAAACTAATTTTTGTTAATGCACAAACACTTTGTGTCTGTGCAAATTTTTATTAACGCACCAACACTTGTGTCGGTTTAAACCATCAAAATGTTTGTGTATACCTGTGGTGTACAAATGGTGTACAATTTGTGGTGTAAGTGTAGCATGAACCTATATGGAGTTAGGGGGGATCTATCATCTATGTATGAACAATTTCAAGATGGAACGAATCGTCATAAGACCAACCATATCGCCACGAATTCAGGCAGATGTTGCTTAGTTTTTTTAGCTCAGCCATATGACCATATCCGAGTTTGGTGATCTTTTTTGTTCTCTTTGGACATGTGCTAATTTGAAGGATTGTGTATGCATGCTCTCTTCTCTTTTATTTTGTCACGAGTTCTACTAATCAAACTCCATACTTTGTAGCTAGGGAAACCCTATGGAATGACATGTTACGTTACTCCATCTTCTTTTCTTGTTAACACTGTACTCTTTATATTGATTTAATGAATTCAGTTTTTATTGTAAAAATGAAAAACCAAAAAAGGTAAAAAGTTAAAATAAGAAAACATAAAAATTTAAATTGAAAAGTATATAACAAAGAAAACTTAATGAAATGCTAAACGGAGTACTAGGTCCATATATATAACTTCCAACCTGCAATGGGTGCCACATGCAACTAGCTCCATATATATAACTCCCGCCCTAGTGCCAGATGCAACTTCCGACCTGCAATGGGTGTCCGACGCTGGCCACGTCCTCCGAGCAGCGCGGTGGGCCTTTCCCTTCCATTGTAAATGCTGGGGATAAATTTACTTTAATTTCAAAGAGGTTGGAATTATGGAAATGCATTAATTCTCCATATGTAAAAAACAATCACCTACATATAGGTACAAGTACTTTTAATAGATTTTAGCGCAAATTTTTTTTCTTGAGTAAAACCAAAGTACTTGGTATTTCCTTAGTAACAGTACAGATATACCAAAAACACTCCATTGGCGAATTAATCATTCTAGTTTTGGGTCCAAAATGATTGCCTTGCTTTTCTGTCCAATATGTAGGCTTGAATTTTGATAACTCACATTTTATTTGTCAATACTTTTTTAAACTACATGAAGTGAAACTAGGATAATTAGTTAAAATGGAAATAAATTAAGTTCACTCATAAATCAATCGAGAATGGGGAAGTCGGTAGGTGTTGCGCAGTCAGCAAAAACAAAAAATACCAATTTGTGATCAAAATCTAAACATATGATCTATGTAAGTACTAGGTACAGGCTACACTCTATGTCACCAATTTGTGATCAAAATCTAGTTTACATCCTCTCAGTGACCATCCGATCGAATCTGAGGGAGTCTTGGAGATAGGGCTAGGGGTGGGTGAGAAAAATCAAAAAACAAAAACAAAATCAAAATCTATTAAATTGTGCAAAAGGGTAAATCAAACCGGATGCGAAAAATCAAACCGAACTGTTTCCACTGTTCCGTTTTCAGTTTTGGACTATGAAAACCGAACTGAAATGAATAAAAGTGAAATTTGTAAATTACCAACAAGAGTTCCAAGATGAGGAAAAAATTAATCATTTTTGTCATGGCAACCCTCCATTTTTGTAGATTTAATTGTTTAAGTTGTTTTGTTTTTGCACACTCTGGTATTTAATTGTTTAAATTCTTTTTCCATTTTAAATTTTGAAGATGCAAGTTGAAATTTTGGAAATAAATTTTGGGGCATTAATTACATGTTGAATTGACTTCTTGGACATTTTTTTTATTATGAAGATTTATAAGGTTACTTTGGTTTTTTAAAACGTGAGCAAGTATAAATTATATGCACTTCCTCAATTTTGGACTGCAATTCTAGTGTTTGGATAGACATTTGCAAGTGTTTGCAGTTTTTTTTACAGTTTTTTTAGTGTAATAAGTGTAATCTACTTTTTAAAAATTCGAATAACCGAAAAAAAATTGAGGATAACATCGCAAAAAACCAAACCAAGAAACCCATTGTTCAATTTTTTTTTTTTAAAAAAAAACTGAATCGAACCAAACTGCCAAATTAATTACGTTCTCTTTTTGGATTTGGAGAAAACCAAACCCAAAAAATCGAACTCACCATAGTCCATAGATGGGACTCATCCATATTTCAATCATGAAGGGGGGAGTACAATAATTGGTGCCCAGCTCACCTCACCGTACCTTTGAGTTCGATTGTTTGGTCATTTTGTGGTTACGTCTCCATCCCCAACCCAAAGCCTATCTCTTCTCCTTTCTTTCACGTGTAGAAATAACACTTTATCTATCCATGAATCCATGATTAATGTATGCCATGCTACACTTACACCAAAATTTATATCCCAAATGTACACCGAATGTATACATCAATATTTTAATAGTTTATACTGACACAAAGTGTTGGTACATTAACAAAAATTAATATTACACCAACACAAAATATTGGTGCACACTTGCGGTGTACAAATGAGGTACAAACCCTTGGGATACAAATAGCTTTATTCTTAATGTATACTTTCACACTTTTTGAGAAACATTCCCTCATGAATTAATCATTCAGTTTGACTTAAAAAATTTAAAAAATCCTGAAAAATAAAATGTGGGCACTTGAAATATGCTAGAAAAAAAAGATTATAGACCAAATCTTGTTTAATTGATTATAAAAGTAAAGTGCTTATTGGATGGTTAATTATTTAGAGTTGGGAGTCCGGAAGAGAAATAAGACTCAATCATTAGAAATTGATGAGAGAAATGAATTTTAACAAAAAGATTGAAATAGTAAGGAGCAGTAGGACTGTAGGAGTGATGCTTACATTGTTGTTCACATTTGAAATGTGGATCTTATCACATTTTTATGAGTTTTCATCTAGATATATTTTCTAGTTTGAAAAAAGCACACTTCTTTTAGGGTACACATACACTACAGTCCAAAAAATGACTATGGACCTTAGGTATACAGAAGAATGGTCGAGCAGCTAGTAAAAACATATGAAAAATTTAAAATAAGACTTTCATATTTTTATTCCCAAAATATTTCTTCTTGTATTTAAATTGAAAATAAAGTTAGTCAAGTCTCGTAATCTGCAATGGGCAATTCAAATTCAGATGAAAAGAGTAACTTAATATACCTTTTTCATAATTTATGATGAAAGTGACCAAAATTCAAACTATAATGATAATTTTAAGATGGTCGGAGAAAATACTCCGTACTCAGTACTTTACACAAACACAAAAGAAGGAGTATCATATGAGCAGTCATGTGACTTATGGCCTAGTTCAGTGATCCCTACCTCATTCTAAATTCTATCATGGTATCGGAGTAGGTTTTGACTCACCTCATTTTTCAAGGTGTCTGTATAGACGTTCATTTCTAGCGGCCCGTTTGTCTTTACTCTAGTTGTCTGTATGAAATACATAAATCCAATGGCAAGTGACTCATTTAATTAACCTGATGATTGTTCGTCTCGAAGTCTGTACCCATCAACCCGTAATCTTTTAGCTGTTGCCACTCAAATATTTATTTAACGAAGATAAGAATCTATTTACAGGTGGTCAATCCATTATATATATATCCATCATCGAACGAATTGAAGCCATCATCAAAAGCAAAAACCAAAGTCTCTCACCATATCATATCCATTAGAACGAAACTATGGCTAATAATTATATGGCCATTCATGTAGTACTTGTTCTCTTCCTTCTCTCATCCCCTTTGAGAGCTTCTAACAATGGTGATGATGAACACCCATCAATATCATCATCAATGCTGGAATCATATCAGTTGGAGTGGGACAAAAACATTGACCCCACCAAGCTGAGCTTCAAGCTCTCATTCACCTGGCCCAAGGGCTACTGCAAGACCAAAGGGTCCGGTTGCGAAAAGGCCGCAAGCTTACCGGACCACTTCACGATCCATGGCCTGTGGCCCATCTACCGGGCCAAGTGCGACGACTCCACTGAAGCTTTTAGCCTTGACCATGTCAAGGACCTCCAGGACAAGCTGGACCAGAACTGGCCTGACTTGAAGAACTACGGGAACCCGAGTAAGTATACGTCGTTCTGGGATCACGAGTGGGTTGCTCACGGCAAAAAATGCAACCTCTATAGCGTCCACGATTACTTCAAGCAATCTCTCGCTCTCTACGACGCCAGCAACGTTCTAGAACTTCTTCAAAAAGCAGGTAATTAAATTAATCCATTCAACACGTACAAATCAAAGCTGTTCCTGATCTGATCTCATCTGGTGTGACCAGATCTAATCTCATCTGAACTGAACTGTTTCTAATAAGAATAAGTATGTCAATGCAGGAAATCCAACAACTGTGGAAGACGTGAAAAAAGCATATCCGGGAAGGAGGCCTACGGTTTTCTGCAAGAACGGGAGCGACGGGGGATATTACTTCTACCAGCTCGAGTTCTGCCTGGACAGCAATGAGGCGTACGAGGATTGTCCTGAACCAGCCAAGCCCGACAAAACTCATTGCTCTCCTGGAAAACAATTCAGCTATGGCGCCTGATGATGTTACGCAGCTTGAGCTTAATTAATTAATGGTTATTAACAACGTTGTTATCATCAATAAATACATAAATAAATCTCGATCTAGCTAGAGCTAGCTAGCTAGGACAGTTTGGGTGGGACGGCATCCATCCCTGCATGATATGCCTTATCTACGTAAATTAATAATCCCAATAAAACAAGTACTGCAATTACCCTTCGAAGTTCGAACTTTATATTTTTTAGTCTTTGTTTTACAGTGCGATTTTTTTTATTTTTTAAACATTTAATTAATTAAACACATCGGAATAGAGACCTGGTTCTTTATTCATTAGAAAAAAAACACTTTGCCAGTTATAAAAATTTGCACTAGTACTAAACACAAGTCATTTCTCAATGTTGTACTTAAAGTTTTTTATTTTTAAAATAGAACTTAATAATGTCTAGTGGGAGGAATAATATCCAGTGATACTGGACATTTACTTGAATAATGACTAATGGATAATAATCAATGGTCCTACATTGAGAAACAAAAACATATGGTCATACATTGAGCAAATCATTATGTTTTAGTCCTATTTAAATAAATTTCTCTCTTTCTAATCATATGGGCTTCCTTAATTGCTAACACAAATTACGAAATACATGCACCTCCCTTCCCAGAAGAGTGCGAGGATTCACTATTTAAAAATTACAATGATTTTTGTTTGTTTTCATTTTTTTAGAGGGGAAGGAGTGCTATATTTAATTTTGTACAAAATCCATAAAATACGCCGAAACCTTGGGGTGGACTATTATTTTAGTTTATTATTCATTGTAAATGAAAAATTAAAATTGGAAGAGATTGTCATTGAAATCTCAAAATATCTCACATGGACTACAAATTTCTTTTATAAGAAGGAATTATTAAAAGAATCCTATGAATTCGATAAACTTGATTATGCTCCCTTGTTGATAATTAAATCAATATTTTGTGTCATCCTCTTCCAATGCTCGAGTCTTTTAGCACGGTACGCTGAAAAATTAAACAAAATTTAAATTATTACTCCGTATTAGTAATAATAAGATTATAATTTCTAATTAATCGATTATCCAAATCCATACAATTTAGTTAAATAATCAAATAGACCAAATATTCAAAGAGTAGAGTAGTATATAGTACATGCATACCTTTGGTACCAAATTTTAACTCTTCCATAATTGCGCATGGCATCTGCTTGACCCGGCTTTCCCATGTAACCAAAAGCCAATCCGCCCAAGTCAAACCAAACCGGTTCATTGTTGCACGCACCCGGACATTCATCGGTTATATATATTTTTATGGGTTCTCCTGAACATGTTGGATTATCGGTACATTTTACCTGCAACCATAACATGTAAATGACATACATATATTTCACATTTTACATTTTCATATAAATTTCACATGATAACAAATGCTTGATTATAGCAAGAAAAAGTATAATACACGTATTTGGTAACAACTTCCACACCCTTTTCCACTTTGATAAAGAGCTTGATTTCCGGCAGCTATCATGGAATTGTAGGGTGAATTTCCAACATTCCCAAGTCCGCAAGCTCCCGTATCTACAAACAAAATGTGCGTACATATAAAAGACAAGATGGATTATTATAAATGATTAGAACAATAATTAATATAATGTTGAAGAAGTTTGTCTTAACCAAAGATCACCCCTTAAAATAAACCATATATAATGCGGAATAGCATGTATTGAATACTTACCAGTTCCATGGCCATGTGCTGGACCGTACCATGTTGCGATGGCTGGTTGAAAACCATTAGTAGTAATGTTGGATGGATTTTGACATGAACAAAGAATGAAGAGGAGAAAAAATAACAAGAAATGTGCACTGTATCCATGCCATTATGTGGTGTGTGCACTATCTTAGCTCCTTTAAAATATTTTAATTACTTTGATAGATAATTGAATTTACGTTGGGTTAGATAAACTCATTTTATATGTCAAAAATTATGGCCATAGACCTATATGAGATATGGTAATTAGGTTTATATTCAATTATATGCCAATTTTGATTAATGACTTTAAACAGATTTCCATGCATATATTAATTGGTTGGTAGACTCTCTGTTACGGAACGAGAATTCGTTCCTTGGCTTGCACGCACACTGGAAGGCCGAATCCTTTGAGGATTTGGTTTAAGTGATTTCCTAGTTTATTTTGGTCTTGTACTCTGTGTTTCCTAGTTTACTGGTTTCCTTCTAGGATTTGGATTCTTGGCTTATAAATAGGGTAGGAGTTTTCTGTATTCAACACAACCCTTGGAGAAATAAACAAAATGCTTCACAATACTTTTATCATGGTATCGGAGCAAATCTTCTGAGACCTGTGTCGACTTAATTTTCTCGGCCAACGAGCACCACCTGCATCTTCCGATCAACAGACATGGCGGACGAGAAGGTCGAGAAAACTGAAAAACCTGTTTCACGAGTTTTCAGTGAAGAGGAAGAAATCGGAGAAAAGCAAGTCACAAAGATAAGTCCATATGAGCTGAGATCTTCGGATACTCCTGCTCTCGTCATCACCCAGATTAAATTAACTGGAGATAACTATGAAGAATGGGCCCGGGCGGTGCGAATAGCTCTCCGAGCCAAAAGGAAGTTTGGATTCATTGACGGATCCATTCCTCTCCCAGAAGAAGACGAAGAAGAAGCTGAAGAATGGTGGATCGTGAACGCCATGTTGGTGTCATGGATCTTTAACACCATAGATGGATCTCTCAGAAATTCCATCACACAAGTAGA